GAAAAAGTTATGCATGAGAAATTTCTTCCCAATTACTAATACTTTAGCATATAAAATAATTATAGTATAACTTACCCATCAAAAAAGTGTTAGAAATTAAGAAAAGATAGCTTTTTTTATAAGGAAAAGAAAATTCATTTTTTTGAGCTGAAAAAAATAATTTTTGTATGAAAAGAAAATTAATTTTAATTGGAGAGAATTTTTTTTTATACTAACTTTTTATATTTAAAAATTATATTAAATTTTGATTAATTCAAAATCGAATCAAATCAAATTTTATTAAAAAAAATTCTCTCAATATTTATTTTTTTATTTATAAGATTCAAATTTAAAATTTTTTTAAAAATAAATTAAATTTATTTCACTTTTATTAATATATCATTGGTACGATGAGAGTATATCAAAAAACTATTGTTGGGTTGTTTTTTCGATATTAACTTTACCATTTAAAAATCATATTAAATTCTCACCAAACTAGAGTGGAATTACTGGCTAGTCGAAACGGATTACTTTCTACCATTTGTCATCCACGAGAAAAAATTCTTTCCACATTTATTAAACTATTTATAAAAATTAAATTCAAAATGCTTTTTAGAAGGTAGGTAATTGATCTTCATCGAACTCGTACTAAGAGGTAGTTGAATAGTTACCATGAAGTAGACAATCCGAATCAATACTTCCCCCTGAGAAACACTTATGGCTCTTACGTGGCGTGCATCAGATGCGCGCATATATTAAAAGCCTACTTCACGTAACACCGGAACATTGCTCTCGCCGCCGCACCCTACGCAACGGAATCTGTCCTTGGCGGTGGCTATACGCTGTTCTGTGCGGCCGCAGGAAAGAATCCAAAGCGCTCAAGTTCACGGCGACCCACCACGTGGCAACAAGTTATTAGCCAGAACACTGTCTTCACTCAATGACTGCCTGCCACTTAGATCTGGCTGTCGTCATCGAGTATCACATCATGGATTCCGTTTGGTGGATTTTTAAAGCGGGAACGGGAGGCTCGCCGTAATCGTAGCAATCGGTGGGTGTGTCGGAGGGGAAGACAGAAGCGGGAAACGATGGCGTCTCGTCCCTTCGACGACGATGGCTACATCGGCTACGATCCGCGCCTTCCGTCTCAGCGATTCGACTCGTTCTCCAACTTCGACTCTGGCTCGGTCAAGGACTCGGTCACTGACTCGCCGCCGGTATTCAGCAGTCAATCATACGGCTCTGGAGATGACGTGTTCGTATCTCAGCCGCTCCCTGAAACCCCGTCGCCACCACCGATCTTTGGCCGTGGCGGTGGATTCTCGGAATTCTCAGCTGAGGAGAACGGAAACGATCTCGACGGAGACTTTGTAGGATCGGACGGTCCGATCCTGCCGCCGTCGCCTTCGCAGATGGAACCAGAAGAGGGCTTCGCCTTGAGAGAGTGGCGCAGGTAGGGCTTACGGTGTCTTCGTTTTATTGTATTCTTCAATTCGTGTTTCTTTGTTTTAGTTTCTGAGCGTCAAATTGAATTCAATTGATGAATATCTGGAAGCTTTTCGTTGTCCTAAGGATTGAAAGTTTCAAAATTTCTGATGTGGATCCACAGATTGAACGCGATTAGGTTGGAGGAGAAGGAGAAGAAAGAGAAAGAGATGCGCCAGCTAATAATTATGGAAGCAGAGGGATACAAAGTTGAGTTCTACAAGAAGCGAAGTACTGTTGTCGAGAACAACAAAGCCACCAACAGGGAGAAGGAGAAGGTGAGATAAGTTGCTGGGTGCTTATAATTATTGTTTTGAGTATTTCTATCTGCTTTGCCATTAATTGTTCATTCATGACTCATGAGTAAAATGAATATGAATGAGTTGCTTAAAGGGAAGGAGGAAGCTTGGAATGGACCCTTTTTTGTTTGACCCGTAGAACTGTATATGAACTCTGATTACCAACTTAGCTATAAGCCCAATTGATCTCTGGGGATGCTTGTTCACAGTTGAATGCCTAAAGAATGAAATCAGCGCCTAATGTATTTTTGTAATTGACTGGAGTATCTAAGACATTGCGGATCACCTGGTAGTCTCTGCTGATGTTGCTTCAGAATGAATGTATAGGGCGTGTGAAACTGTGAATGGCAACTTTGATAGCTTTAAGGGATTTCTGTTGTAGTGTAGGTGGTTTTATTAGTAATTGTATGAATAGTGTCACTGGCCTGCTTATTAAGGTACTTTGTGGCGATGGTTAAAAATCTATAAATTTCGTCCAAGTTGGAGTTTATTAGGCAATAGGAATTCATATTTCTTGGTTTTTCACTTGACTATCATTGTATTACATTGCCTTACTCTTTCAGACCCATACTGATCCATTCTATGGATCTTATATATCAGTTATTTTCGGCAAGTCGGGAGAAGTTCCATGCTGAAGCTGACAAGAATTACTGGAAAGCAATTGCAGAGCTCATTCCCAATGAGGTGCCGGCCGTAGAGAAGAGGGGCAAAAAGGATAAAGAGAAAAAACCTTCCATTGTTGTGATCCAAGGACCAAAACCTGGAAAGCCTACTGATCTCTCGAGAATGCGTCATATACTTCTGAAGCTGAAGCACAATCCTCCTCCTCACATGAAGCCTAAACCACCACCATCAGAACTCAAAAAGGATGCTAAAATTGGTACTTCTGCCATAGCCGGTGCCCCTGATGCTGGCCCAAGCAGCACTCCTCCACAGTCTGCATCTGCAGCCACTACTCCTAAGACTGTAACCATTGCTTAAGAATGAAGTTGCTTTGACTGCTAGTTCTGTTTATCTGTGTGAAAAGAAGTCAACGATCAATTCTGCTTGTATGATCCTTGTAAATTTGAAGGTTGGGAATCTAGTTGCTACAAATTTTCGTGTTCAACGTGCCAATTTAATGTTAATAGCTTCACGTGGCTGTATTTGTGACATTTTCCTTTGAAATCCTCAAAATCATCTTGGGATGGCAGTCTTTGAAAGCATTAGTTACAGCAGTTCATGCTTCTATTTCAAGTGTACATTAACCATTGTTGAAGGTTGAGGAGTATGAATTCAACTTGTAAAAATAGGTTCACGGTTCTTATTTGTAACCAATACAAACCTTTCCAGGTTTGCAGCTTGAACTGAAATAGGAGAAATTTTACCGTTAAGTAACTCACCATTAGACGTATCAAAATAAACAGGCATGGGAAAACAGAACAAAACCAATAACAATTGTAACCAATGGAAAAACGTTTTTTTTTTTTTTTTTTCTGACACTATGTATACCATCATTAATTTCAGGTGCTATGGACATGGAACCAATATTCATGCTTCTGCAGACTGCTGATATAACCCAGAACAATCAACAAAAAACCACAAGCAAAAACCCAAATCAAGGGAATAAAAATTGACAGGCAAGCATGCGTACAACCTCCTTCTGAATCAAATGTCGTGGTCAGCAATTGACAATAAGTAGGATCAAGCAATGGTTACCTAGGGAGCATTTGTGTTATACTGGGAAAGCTAGTTATCTGGGATGAAGGTTTTACTAATTGTTTGTCTTTGTTTTTTTGCGAAGAGGATGTTTCCCCTGAACTACCTCCAGGTCCTCCACTGGAGTGCCGAGAGTCATTTCCCTTATACACGTTTGGCTTGGTCAGTGCCTTTTCGTTAAGGTGTACTGGTTTGGAAAGCATATTCACAACTTGCTTCATGGTTGGTCTTTGGTGTGGAGCTGCTTGGGTGCAGAAGAGGGCAACCTTGATGAAACGGATCACATCATCCTCTGGATATTTGGTTAGTTCTGGATCCACAATATCCAGAAGCCGTTCTTCTTCTCTCAGTTTCCATGTCTGCAACAACATTCAAATTTCAGTCAACTCAAGCTCCGGCTATTTTAGGTATCCATTTGAATGATCATGTCAGGCCATAAAAGAAGTTTCCAACCCATATTAGGTGCACACAGCTAAAACTATCATCCACCAGGGTTAATTTCCATATGTTTTAAGCCAGACATAAGAAATAGAAAATAAAACCAATGTTGACTAATCATGTTACAAAGCAGTGATTGGAACCCATAAAATAGAGACACACCCTCTGATTCTTAGAAGGAGATGGTAAGATGGAGGTAAAAGAGAAACCTCAATTCCAAGTGAAAGCTACTAAGTCCAAGACGATAACATTTGTTTTCTACATGAATTGAATATTGGCATTTTGTGGTGCAACTAACAAATAAAAATTAGAGAACCTACCCATTCAACCAGAAGCAACATATCTTCTTCAAATGCTGCTTTACTACTACTTTTGCCACTAATTATTTCAAGTAAGAGCACTCCAAAGCTGTAAACATCTGCCTTCTTAGTAAGCTGTCCTAGAAGGGCATATTCTGGGGCCAAATATCCCCTACAGAGATGAAAGGTTGTCACTATCAGTGAGATGAAAAGATGATAGCAAAATTTATAACTTAACTAAAAAGGGGATTGTGAAATATCAAAAGTCTTATTAACTATAACATGGAAAAAATATCATGAAGATTATGTGTTTAAATGACTAAAATCTTAAAAGACAGGTTTAGGCATGCCAAGTTTATAGGTATATGTAGTTTGGAGGTGCTCGAAAAAGAAAAGGTTTTGTGAAGCAGGACTGATGAGTCCTGAAAAACCAATAACAGCTTTCCAAGTAGGAAAATAGCTTAGGCAGATTATTTATATAATGAAAATTTTGAAATGCAATGGCAGGTCATGCTTACACTGTTCCTGCTACTCGAGTGCTGACATGAGTGACATTATCTGGGAAAAGTTTAGCAAGCCCAAAATCCCCTATTTTAGGATGAAAGTTTCTATCAAGAAGTACATTGCTAGCTTTGATATCCCTGTGGACAATGTTTGGTTCTGCTTCATCATGGAGAAATGCAAGACCAACAGCAGTACCCAAGCAAATAGCAGCTCTCTGAGGCCAATCCAAGGGAACATATTTACTTTTTGAACCTGAAATGATGAAAGCATCATATAAGCATTTCCTAAATGGTTAAAGGATAAAAGGCATAACTTAAATCTTGCTCCGGTTCTTACAACTGTAATCTGTAATATTAAAATAATGAAACTGAGATACAGGGTTGGGAGTAGAGGGGTGATGCATTCTTGTAATTGGAGTCAAATAACACTCACAAGGGCCAACACCTTATCCCTTATTTGCCCAAAGTAC